GAGCCTATAAAAGATTTTTAAAAAGCTTTGTCAATATTCAAAAATTCAAATATTCAAGTAATAATTTGAATAATGCAAAACATTTTTATTACATTTTTCATCTTTATCTCACTAGAATTTTGCATATTTCAAAATGTACATAATGACTGACACCGTATCAATTTTTTTAAACCGTGATTATTTTACATGACACAGAAAAACCATTCAATGAAATTCAACACTCATAATGGAAAACAAAAAATACCACTGATCACTCACAATGCTTTTGAAAAAATACAAATGCCTAGACTCTAGACATCAGAATATCATGGAATGAAGCCAGATGTATATACAAAAGCTGCCAAAAGAAATGTATACACATTTTGATAAAGGAAAAAACTGCATTAAAATTTTAATGCTCAAGTCATGTTTGACTTCTGCAATTACAAGAGATACAATATACAAGATAACTAACCTGCCTGCCTTTATGTATGTGGCTGGCTCCCTAACAAGTGAGTTATGGGTACCGAGCCTAATATGGAAATCTTAAACTCAGGTAATATTATCATGGAACAATATCTGCCTACATACAGAAGGTGCCAAAATAATGTATACACATTTTAAGAAAGGAAAAAACTATTAAAATTGTAATACGTCACTTTTAGCTTCTGCAATTATAAGAGGGACTGAAAAGTGACCTGTATTCATCTTTTATTATCAGTATACAAGGTCCAGACAATTATGATCCTGAACTCATCCTAGAAAAAGTGCTACCTACCTCATGGCTGACTGTCACAGCAGTCCACCTTTGCGGTACTCCCCTTGGAAAGCTATTCACCAATGCCAGCGCCTAGTCCGCACTTCAAAGCAATTTTGGAACTCTTATCTGGAGTAGACATCAGAGTTGTCATTGGACAGAGGTCTGACAATTAAATTTGCCAACTCATCCTAGAAAAAGTACTGTGGGTACCTACATTGCTGAATACCACTACTGTCACCTTTGAAATACTTCCCTTGGCAATATGATGACTACTGATATTCAGCAATGAGGTACATAGCACTTTTTCTAGGATGAGTTTGCAAATTTAATTTTTAGACCTCCATCTGATGACAGCTCTGATGGCCATTTCCAGAAAAAGAGTTCCAAAATTGCTCTGAAGTATAGACTAAGAGCTAGCATTGGTGCACAGCATCCCAAGGGGAGTACCTTGAGGGTGGACCATAGTGGTATTCAGCCAAAAGGCAGGCAGCATGTTTTCTAGGATGAGTTTTCTAACTTAATTATTTGACATCATATATTATTATAATTTTTTTTTTGTTTGTATTTTTGAGACAGAGTCTCACTTCATGACCCTGGGTAGAGTGCCGCAACGTCACAGCTCACAGCAACCTCAAACTCTTGGGCTCAAGTGATGCTCTTGCCTCAGCCTCCCACATAGCTGGGACTATAGGCACCCACCACAATGCCCGGCTATTTTTTAGCTCAGGCTGGTCTCAAACGCTGAGCTTAGGCAATCCACCTGCCTTGGCCTCCCAAAGTGCTGGGATTACAGGTGTGAGCCACCACCCCCAGCCCAAATATTATAATTTTAATACGATTTTTTCTTTTCTTAAAATGTGTATACCTTTTTTTGGCACACTGTATGTGTATAAACTTTAAAATTCTAGTAAAGAATATCTATGCTAAAAAAACTACATACTTAACAGTAACAGTAACATACTTAACAGTAAAATTTTAGATGTACTCTCACTAAAATAAGGAACAAGAAAAAGATGCCTGCTATTTAACATTTGATACAGACACTACTGCCTGCAAAAATAAAATAATTTTCTATGTAATACAAAATAAATGTAAAATAATCCACAGGTAGATTATTTGAACCATTAGTCT